GACTCCAGAAACCAGTCCTAGACATCCGCACTCATTATCACTGAGACGTTGCATGGTCTAGAAATCGACAACTACAATGTAATTCTATTGTACCACAGGCTCTGCATGCATGCTTCGCACCCCATATTTTTGAGCAGCATATCTTCGGGACCTCCTTCCCCCATGTAGGTCGCCGCTGACTCATCTGCTGTACCCTCGCCGCAGGAGGCTCGTTTTGTTTAGAGCTGAACTGGCTTTGTTCCTTGGGTTTAGGGTTTATGTGATCATCAATTAAACGTTTCCCCCGAGGAACAAAGCCCAACAACATCAATAACGATAACGACCACGACCACAACCACAACGAGAACAGAGCTCAGACAATGCAGTGGCAAGACGAGGCAACTACCTCCAAACGCCTGACAAGCCGAAGGCTCATGATGGTAACTGACCACCACCACCGCCGCCGTCACCGCCACCACCGCCGCCACCACCACCACCAACAACAACAACAACAAATGGTCCCGATGTATGACTGGCCTCTTAGGGTGACCGTTGTTAGAGGGAGCTGCTTAGGAAGGGGATTCTTGGGAGATGTTTTGGGATTTGAGAGTTGCAAGGGTTTCTGGCGTACCTGCAATTCAGCCTGAGGTCGCGCCTTGGCAAAGGTGTTGGGTGGTAAGGGCTTGCCAAATACAAGCAACCAAGAGCCCGTCGGATTCTTGTATAGCATTGCTTGCTTGCTTGCTTGCTTGCTTGCTTGCTTGCCGGTAAGTAGAAGCGTGGCAACCCCGAGCCCTCAGCTGACAACACCTATCAAAAAAACTAAAGCTGGTCAGATGGTCCATCACACACACACACGGAGAAAAAAGAAGCCAGGCTCCAGAGACATTGGTGGAGGCCGGGGCATCCAGGGTCTCCGGGTTTTTGACCTAAGGCGTTGAGGGGCCTGAGGCTTGGAGAGGTGCGCAGCAACTGAACATCTCTAACTGCAGCTCATCTTGCACAATCTCAGCAGACACTGAGGTGTGAAAAAGCAGAAGTTTCAGACGACCTCCCAAGTAAAGTTATAACTCATTTGTGCGAGGTGACGGGAGTAATAAGAAGAATATGTTGGATGTGCGGGTGCTTAGACTTGCGGGTGTCTTGTTGTTGTCCTTCTCATGAAGGGTTAGTGCAACCAATGAAATTGGGGGATAAGGGGGACTCCCATTTTGGGAGAGATGCATCTGAGCACCTGGTTCATGGTTTGGTGTCGTGTTGCAAGGGCTGCAAATCATTCATGATGGAGATGTCCAGGAAAAAGCTAGGCGCTTCCGCCTTTTTTGTGGGAGTGGTCCTTTCTATTTCCCGGCATTACATGCGCAGAAACCTTGTTTGACACTAGTTTTGACGGGCCCCGTTCTGAGTCAACATTTGGGTGTGCCAATGCTGTTCGGACGCAACTATAGTTTTGAGTGAAGGATTGAGGGATAAAAGCAAAGCATACTTGGATAAGCCATCCTCTTAGCGTTATGGTGTGTCCATATGGGTCGCTGCAAGATTCTGCAGCAAGGATTCCGCTTTGAGGTGTCACAGACAGCCCAAACTGCGAATATCTCAGACACTTTAGGGCCTTCGGGAAAATTTCACAGTGGAATGACACTTTTTTTCCCTGCGCTTTGCAAAAGCAGGGCGCAAGGCCTATGTTGACTTTGCTGTTTGGGGTGGCATGGTGACCAGTTTTGTTTTTTTTGCGATTGGACTGCTGCAACCTGACACGGGTTAACAGCATGGTGACCATGTTGAAGGAGCCGCTGGAGGCAAGATTATTTCCCCGGATACCTACAGGCAAATAATTTCATGATTCCTTGCAAAATCTCATGTATAAGGCTACTCCCCATGCAGCAAGCTGTATTTGTGGGGTCGACAGCAAGACGACAGCCTAGACTATCCCAAAACCCATGGGCCTGGACCCCAAACCCTAAACTGGCAAGCATCTGAGATGCACATAAGTCCCCCTGTCACAACCGCTGACGCAGGCTCAAAGATCCTACCATGACACTTCGCAAGATCCACTACATGTTGCATGGGACCGTGAATTCCCTGGCGCATGTAGGGTTTATGGGTTTAAGGATGTGGGTTAAAGAAGGATGTTGCATGCAAGTTGTGCTGTTACCTAGCATCCTGCTAGTCATTTTCTGCCGATAACCTTTCCCAACGGCAAGGCCAAGAACCCTCGAAGGATCTCTGGCCATGCTCGAATTTCCCGACACGAGCACGGTGAAAGGTTTACGGTTGTCACAACCAAAGCACAGCAACTAAACTTAAACCCCAAATCCCGAAGTCCTAAATCCCTAACCCCTCACTGCCGAAGCCTGAGCACCCTAACTCCCAGGCACAGGGGGCAAGCCCGGAGGATGGCTCGTTTCAAGGCAACCCCGTTTCCAACGAGGCCATGGAAGAGAATACATTTCCCCCGCATCGAGATCGAAAGGGATAAGTTCAGATGCGAGACGAGTCAAGTTGATTCTAGCTGATTCTAGCTAAGCTCCCAGCAGCGCAATACGTTTTGGGGGATGCTGTTACCCTAAACGATGCTGTTGCTCTTGAGATTTTCAAGGCGCCCTCATTTGCATGAAGGGCATCGAAACACATCACCTGCATTGCCTTGGATTCTGAAGTCTGGCAGAAGTATGTTTGACAGCCACGACCGGCTGTGCATAATGCGCGCGACAAAACCACGCTTTAAATTATGTGGATTCAGTCAAGATTCAAGACTCTCACGTGAGCGGCTCTTGAAATCTTCTAAGCATGTACGAACTACTCCCTTGCTGGGAGTTTCAGGCAAGATTTTCTGGAGTTGAGCAGGAGTGTCGTCAGATTTTGGGACATTCAATCGTTTAGACACCCCGAAAGTCAAGGAGCTCTGGAGCATGCTCCAGGGTCTTAGGGGTACTTGGAAATACGTTTTTAATTCTCTCTGTTACTATGTTCATAGTCCTAAGAAACAGCAAAATTCCAGTTTTTACGCGGGTTCCAAGGTCAGCAGGGATCCAAACTGTACCAAATCCCTATCTGCTGGTACTTTTTTCGTTTATCCTCTCTTGATGTGGGATTCCTCATGTCTACGGTGGACGGTCTCCTGAGATATCACAAGCTTTGCTTGTGCGCGCAAGACTTTGCTGAGAAAGTATTGCCCACAAGCTCTAGAACAGAGAGTAGTAGGGAGCCTGGAGTAAATCTGATGATCATGGCTCAAATAGGCTCTGATCTGGCAAAAGATAAACCTCTTTGCCGCATCCTCTGTACGCTCAATTGCCAACCAGGAAGCTTCTTCGACTGCCGGACCTTGGGAAGACTCTGTGCGTCGCTGAGCTCGTGCGGATGTGCTGTTAGCCTATGACGGTATACATAAGGATTCTATGGGAAGATCATTTCATCAGGATTCTGGTGGGTGGTTGTCCGATTACGATCAACTCTGGCCTCACAGTTCTTTGAGGTGTCCAAGCTGGGGTGATCTCGGGGGA